ACTTTCAGCTATTGTTTATTATGATGGTGAAATTCAAGAAGATGAAACCGGCGTTGTTTTTGTATCAAATGAGCGTGTTAAAATATCATTCAAGAGAAACATAACTCTTGAGGAGCTAATAACGAAGATTTCGAGGAAGATACATGTTGGAAGTAACAGAAGAATGTCGTCGTTGCAATACAGATTTCCAACATCATTTTTGCCATTAACTTATACAGCGTTCGAACTTTCGAACAATGATGATGTTCAAATGATGGTTGAAGCTCAAAGTAATTATTCAGACGCCGCTATTGAGATGTATGCACATTTTGTTCAAGTGCGTGCTGTTCGGGGTCAATCTTTAAGCTCACACTATGGGCTTGCTGAACAAGTTGTTAAAGTTGACAGTCCTACTATCTGAAGTTTTTAAGGTATACGAATTTGAGTTTCCCCCCATAGGTAATGACAAAGACCCTGATGAGGTTCAAGATTGGCTTCCGATTGTACCAAATCCGAGTTTATTGAGGGAGCGTGGTCGTCCAAAATCCAATCGAATTCATTGCGATATGGATATTCGAGAAAGATCTAGACAAGACAGAAGATGTGGCCATTGTAGAAACCCAGGACACACTAGAAAAACATGTCCACTTCTGTTGTCATCAAGTAACAATTGATGAGGAAATGATGTATTTGTTTATCAAATAATAATTCTTGTATTTTAATTTGCATTTACTTCAAGTTAATGTCATTCGATAATCGCTGATGAAGATTAAAAAAACAAACACAATTATTAAATTTTATCAAACTAATAACAATTTGATATTTAAATACAACAAACTTACAATAAGAATTAAATGGTAAATGATAACCAAATTACAATAACTGATATTAAATGGTAACAAACAAAATTAACTAAAATATATTAAAAAAAAGTCCAACGAATTTAACAAAATAAAGTAAGTATTAAATGAGAAATAATAAAAAAATACAATTAAACAAAATAAAGTAAATACAAATATAATAAAAAAAATCTATCGATGCCTGCGTCGAAAATGTGTTTCACATGGCGGTGGCTGTCGGTCTCGAGGAGGATTTCTTCGTATCACTGGTTCTGACTCCTCGCTGTCATCATCGTCGTCGTCGTCACCATCGTCATCGTTCGTCATCGTCGTTGTCCTGAGCAGGTACATCAGGTTGATGAGAAGCTGATGACGATGAAGCACCTCCATAGAATAAAGACCCTGGAGGTGTATGACTGACTATCCCACCGGCATGCGAAAACTGGGAAAACCTAGACATCGTTGAGTGTGAAAACTGCACAGGAGGTGTCTGTGCTGCGGCCATGGGTGATGAGGATGAACCCGCCAAATATTCAGCATATGAACCCCAAGTCGGATCTGCAAACATAGACCCATAATAGCCTCCAGGAGGGGTCATCTGTGACGGTGGCGGTGGCTGGGTCATAAAATCAGGTGAAGGCAGCGGCAGTGGCATCTGGTAATGGAAAGGAGATGACGACATCATATATGGCTGCGGTGGCTGTTGGGAAGGTCCTGCTGGTGCAGCTGAGGATGAATCGGAAGCACCTGTTCTCTGTCCACAAGTCGAGGGACGATGGTGCTGTGTCGGTGAATGTCTCTGTCGACGTCGTGGAAAGGTCTGCCCTCGTGCATCCTCGGGAAGTAGAAACAGTTTCTCATTACTGTTGAACCACTCATAATAATCCTCAACATACATCAAGAGGTCATCAAAAATGGGCTCTCTACGGGGAAGACGCCGATGTCGATCCTCCCACAACACGACCCACCCATGATGCCTCACCAGCCAATCTGTATCTGTCTTGCCGCGTCTATCTAAGCTATGCAACTCGTCCATATTGCGAGGTGCTTCCGGAATTGGTTGAAAACAACCAAACTGCCGGAGCACGCGATCAGTGGAGTCCCACCCACCCTAATTTTTTTCTAAATCATCAGGTAGCTCCTGATGATTTTTCCTATCAGTAGACCACCTATTCAAGGAAAAAATTTGTTATACGCTGTATAAAATTATTAATATACAAAATCAGTTTTATAATTACCTCAGTAGTGGAAATATGAATGGGTTATTCACAATGGGACATAAAAAGGGCAATCGATACCATGCCCAAGACTGCAGCAGCAGGAGACATCCGCCGATAGCATTACGCCTGTAGTCAGTGGCTCCACACATCTCCCTGTACAGCAAAGCCAAAACTGCCGAGCCCCAACTGAATGATCCGACGAGACGAAAGTCACTAAGATGTCGCAACCACATGCAGTGAACTAGGTTACGCGATTTGTCTGGCATCAGCAACCCTCCTATCAGCTGCAGGATGCATGCACGTGCATACATCTTAACCTCATCCTCAGAAGCGTCTGCGCTCAACTCCCGAAAATTGGCATCTAACCAATTTAATGGTATCCTACCTCCGATAAAATTTTCCGGGACACGTCCTAGACTATCCCGACACAAAGTAGTCAAAGAACCGGAAGCTATCACCGATATCACATCTCCATCCACCAGAAGCCCCAGGTGCATAGAAACATCCTCAAGCGTGATCGTGCACTCTCCGCATGGAAGATAGAATGTGTGGGTCTCCGACCTCCACCGCTCTACTAAGGCAGAAATCAAGTATGGCTCTATCTTACAATGACCCTGATATCTACCTATGTAACCGAATCCAGCCTCTACAATGATCAGGGGGCGCGCTATACCCACGTGGCGCCAGATCACCGTATATCGCGGGGCAGGGGGCGCGTTATACCCACGTGGCGCTAAATCAACATATAACGCGATACAGGGGTGTGCTTTTTTGCTAAGGGTGTTAGATCGAGAAATATAATCTAATCGGTGTTAGATCAATAATAATACCGATCACAGGTGATATACCGAAAAAATAGTCAAGAAAACATGAATGAATATTATAAAAGTAGCTTTTATAAATATTGATAGACGGGGGATTTTTCATCAATTCCAAATGCCACGTGGCTGATAATGAACACCTTGGTCTAATCACTAATCACGTCCCCGGATCTGAGCATAACATACACAAACCAATCTCATTCCCAACTCAATCCCCAGAAACTAAAGGAAAAAGTTGTCTATATATATATATATAACTCTGATATACTTAATCTACATATACTATTCTCTCTAAAAACTCTCAATAATTCAGTTTTTTGGGGTTCTGAAATACGCTTTCCTGCTTTGAATCTGTGTCTAATCCCCAGAAAATATGATGCTCCAGCAAGGTACGTATGTTAAAGTAAATACTATATGACTGCTGTATGTATATTACTTATGTCCATCTTTAGGAAACAGTTCAAAAGAACAAGAGTATGTGATGATATCTATTTGTCTTTGTAATTTTGCCTCTTGTGTAGTTGAACTGATTAGGGCTTTTCCTTTCTTTAAGCTCATGGTTTCCTTATCCTTTGTAAGGCATCAATCTTATCAGCTTCTTATTTTCAGCTAGTTTCTTCTCAGAATTTGATGCTATTTCCCCTATTTTTTAATAAAAATATATGTAAAATTTTGTTTGTATTTGTTATATATATATATTTCATTGTCATTTTTGCTGTTGAAAAGATCAATAATGCTGTCTGTCCGCAGAATAGTACTCTCCTAATCTCACCTGCATCATTGACTGGTTTTCTTTTGGGTGTCTTTGAGTTGCTTCTTTTGATTCATTACTGGTTCTGTTGATTTGATAGATCTTTGAGTTGGAAAGTAAGGAAACAAAGGAATGGAGGGTGACACATTTAGGCTCGGGAATGGTGGTCAGGTAGATGGCAAAGTGGTGCAGACATTTCAGAAGAGCTTTGTTCAGGTTCAGAATATATTGGACCAGAACAGGCTACTGATCAATGAGATAAACCAGAACCATGAATCTAGGATCCCTGACAACTTGGGAAGGAATGTTGGGTTGATTAGGGAGCTCAACAACAACATAAGAAGAGTGGTTGATCATTATGCAGATCTTTCGAGTTCCGTCTCTAAATCCTCTGATATTGCCTCGTCTGAAGGTGATTCCAATGGCGGGCATAAAAGAAACAGGCCTGCATGATTTTGGGGCTTATTAGTAATTCTTTTGCATGGTTGGCGAATACGAAGATAAACTTGCATAGCTCTTGTTCGAGGTTCGTAGAAAAATGGTCAGATTCTGTGACTCTAAACTCTCTTTAGATTTATCAAAACATTTGTTAGAGACGAATAATGGGTCTGAAGCTTCTTCTAGTATTGCATTGTAACTCCATGTAAGTTGTGTGTGATGTAACCCTTGATCTAATTGATAAAATGAATGCATTTGGTGGCCTTAACTCCTGAATTCTAACTTTGCTGCAGTTTTCCCCCCTATTTTATGTCTATGTTCGAGGTTCTAAGTTGTCCCCTCCGATAATATTATCTTAAGATTCGAATCTAAGTTCTTTGGTTAGGTTAGTAACTTTGTTACAATTTCTTTTCTTATGCATGCTTATAGTGTCTATATGTTCGGATTTAGAATTGTCCCTTCCAATAATTTTACCTCTTGGTTCGAACCCAAATTCTGCCAGTAGGAGTACAATAACCCTTGTTGGTAACTTTGCTGCAGTTTCTATAATCAAACCTTCTCCTCTTTATCCTAACTCTTTTTCCCTCTTTGTCAAAAAAGAATGATAACTATAATGGGTGCTTAACTATATATATATATATATATATATATATATATATATATATATATATATATCAGATTCTTGACCATGAAGGCTCAATATCAACTTTATTGGATGGAAACAAACTGTGTTTTCAGCCCTCTACAACATATGATACTCAGGAATTTCAACTTTTAGAAATGAAAGAGAGAGAGAAAGGTTTAGAGATTTTAGTTTATCCCAACTTTTTTCCCTCTTTGTCAAAAGGGCAGATACTCATAATGGGTGTTACCGTTCTGCAAATCTCATTCCCAACTCAATCCCCAGAAACTAAAGGAAAAAGTTGTCTATATATATATATATAACTCTGATATACTTAATCTACATATACTATTCTCTCTAAAAACTCTCAATAATTCAGTTTTTTGGGGTTCTGAAATACGCTTTCCTGCTTTGAATCTGTGTCTAATCCCCAGAAAATATGATGCTCCAGCAAGGTACGTATGTTAAAGTAAATACTATATGACTGCTGTATGTATATTACTTATGTCCATCTTTAGGAAACAGTTCAAAAGAACAAGAGTATGTGATGATATCTATTTGTCTTTGTAATTTTGCCTCTTGTGTAGTTGAACTGATGAGGGCTTTTCCTTTCTTTAAGCTCATGGTTTCCTTATCCTTTGTAAGGCATCAATCTTATCAGCTTCTTATTTTCAGCTAGTTTCTTCTCAGAATTTGATGCTATTTCCCCTATTTTTTAATAAAAATATATGTAAAATTTTGTTTGTATTTGTTATATATATATATTTCATTGTCATTTTTGCTGTTGAAAAGATCAATAATGCTGTCTGTCCGCAGAATAGTACTCTCCTAATCTCACCTGCATCATTGACTGGTTTTCTTTTGGGTGTCTTTGAGTTGCTTCTTTTGATTCATTACTGGTTCTGTTGATTTGATAGATCTTTGAGTTGGAAAGTAAGGAAACAAAGGAATGGAGGGTGACACATTTAGGCTCGGGAATGGTGGTCAGGTAGATGGCAAAGTGGTGCAGACATTTCAGAAGAGCTTTGTTCAGGTTCAGAATATATTGGACCAGAACAGGCTACTGATCAATGAGATAAACCAGAACCATGAATCTAGGATCCCTGACAACTTGGGAAGGAATGTTGGGTTGATTAGGGAGCTCAACAACAACATAAGAAGAGTGGTTGATCATTATGCAGATCTTTCGAGTTCCGTCTCTAAATCCTCTGATATTGCCTCGTCTGAAGGTGATTCCAATGGCGGGCATAAAAGAAACAGGCCTGCATGATTTTGGGGCTTATTAGTAATTCTTTTGCATGGTTGGCGAATACGAAGATAAACTTGCATAGCTCTTGTTCGAGGTTCGTAGAAAAATGGTCAGATTCTGTGACTCTAAACTCTCTTTAGATTTATCAAAACATTTGTTAGAGACGAATAATGGGTCTGAAGCTTCTTCTAGTATTGCATTGTAACTCCATGTAAGTTGTGTGTGATGTAACCCTTGATCTAATTGATAAAATGAATGCATTTGGTGGCCTTAACTCCTGAATTCTAACTTTGCTGCAGTTTTCCCCCCTATTTTATGTCTATGTTCGAGGTTCTAAGTTGTCCCCTCCGATAATATTATCTTAAGATTCGAATCTAAGTTCTTTGGTTAGGTTAGTAACTTTGTTACAATTTCTTTTCTTATGCATGCTTATAGTGTCTATATGTTCGGATTTAGAATTGTCCCTTCCAATAATTTTACCTCTTGGTTCGAACCCAAATTCTGCCAGTAGGAGTACAATAACCCTTGTTGGTAACTTTGCTGCAGTTTCTATAATCAAACCTTCTCCTCTTTATCCTAACTCTTTTTCCCTCTTTGTCAAAAAGAATGATAACTATAATGGGTGCTTAACTATATATATATATATATATATATATATATATATATATCAGATTCTTGACCATGAAGGCTCAATATCAACTTTATTGGATGGAAACAAACTGTGTTTTCAGCCCTCTACAACATATGATACTCAGGAATTTCAACTTTTAGAAATGAAAGAGAGAGAGAAAGGTTTAGAGATTTTAGTTTATCCCAACTTTTTTCCCTCTTTGTCAAAAGGGCAGATACTCATAATGGGTGTTACCGTTCTGCATATATATATATATGTGTGTGTGTGTGTGTATATACACTCTCACAGATTCTTGGCCATTAAGGTTCATTATCAACTTTTAGATGGAAAGAAACTGTGTTTTCATTGCTTTTCTTATACATGCTTTGTGCTGTGGAGAACTAAAAGCAAACCAACATTCTCTGGGGAAATGATGTTGAGAAAAGAGAAAGTTGATAATAGTAATGAAGGCAAAGCAGCTTTGGATTTAAACCCTTCTTGGTTCCCACTTTCCCCAATCACACGAACACCACAAAACAGAATCTGAGATGAGAGATTGATGAGTTCTTCACTTGTTTTTCTATCTGCTTAATCTCCTTTTCAATCAACCAACAGCAAAAATAATAATAAATAAAGTTCGTTTAAAATAAAGCATCACAGAGAGTTTGCAAGAGAAAGACAAATATATTTGTGAACAGTGACCCCAGCTACATGACAAGGGCCCCATGAACCTCTCCATGCTTATCCTTCTTTATGATAGATTCCTTTCATGGATAACAGTTGTCCTTTGTTGATGGACCCACATTATAAATACACATATATTTGTTTAAATAATTTAAGATGATTATAATAAACACAAATTATTTTAATTTAGGAATTCAAAAAAGAACAACACTACTTTTGATTAACGAGTTTTAAATAGAAGTATATTTATAGACTATGGATAATATACAAATACATTATAAATATAATTGTTTAAATTCGAATTTTTTTATGAAAAATGACATTTTATTTCACTATTAAAATCATTCGATGAGTTTATATAATTTTAATAAAACCAACATCATTGTTTCTACCCTTTCATGTTCATGGTTAGGTTATTTTCCACCGACCTTTTTAGGGTTTAAACATGCACCCCTGAATGATGTTGCAATAAAATGTATATTATTGTTACATTATGTTATCAAAATATTGTGTGCTCTTGCAAGGAAAATGTTGGCTAATAATATTACGTATGAAGATGAACGACAGATGTATGGCCACTAATATATATTTATATAGAAAAAATAAAAGAAAGAATCTAATCCTTATGGAGCATTTATGTCTGACAATGACAATTATTTATATAGGTAAAATGTCTCTTTCAAAGGGTGACATGTAAGTCCAATATCATGTAAAATTGTTATTATCAATAGTAATAATAAGATAGGTTTCACTACCTAAAATGAAAAAGCAATAATGATAATAACAGACGTTTGTATATCATTTGATGGTTTTGATAGTAAAAATAAAAATTATTTTTAAATTTTTTTGAGTTCGAGAAGTTATATTTATAAGATATATGGAAATTTTGAATATATATATATATATATATATATATATATATATATATATATATATATATATATATATATATATATATTATAAATTTATATAATATCAATATCGAAATATATGGTAAAATGAGATATTAACATAAAATAATAAACTGAACAAAAGAATAAATATATATCACGGTGAGTCATTGTCTTAAAGCAAATTCGCTTTTTTCAGTGTAATCGTTATATTGTACGACACCCTAATTTAATACAGCTCTTCAAAAAAATCAAACATCCTAAGTTTGAAACGGACAATAGCGGTATTGCCCTTCAACTCCAACTCTCAATCTCCTTGCAAATACGTTTCGGCAAAAACGATGATTGCATCGTATAAACAGGAAGTGCTGCCAATACTGATTTAGCAAGTGTAACCCTTCCTGCAAAAGAGAGAGTTCTCATTTTCCACTCATTCAACCTAGCTGTAACCATCGAAATCAAGTATTGATAAGAAGCTGCCTTGACGCGACCATGAAGGAGAGGAACGCCAAGATGCTTCCCCAAATCCAAGACCCCTTGAAAACCAAGATCCGTGCTAATTTGAGTGCGAACACCCAACGGAACATTCTTGGAAAAGAAAATCACACTATCCGTTTGCCCGAGGCAGTACCAAACTGTAACAGGACATCACAGATGACTTCCCCTTGCTCTCGTGTAGCTTCCGCAAACAGAAGCATATCATCAGCGTATAAAAGGTGCGAGATCCCGGGTCCTAAAGGCAACGTTCTAAAAGGTTTCCAAAGTTCTCTTCCAACTGCAATTTGTATCATTTGCGCCGATCTCTCCATGCATAAGACGAAGAGGTATGGCGATAATGGATCACCCTACCCTGACGAATACCCCAAGAAGGAGAAAAAAATTCTGCTTGGCTCCCATTCCACAAAATACTAGTTGACACCGAAGAAACACAACGCATAATCACCCTTATTAAGGACTCGAGAATACCTAAATCTTGTAGCGTATCCTCGATGAATAACCATTCAAGGAGGTCATATGCCTTTTCCAAATCAATCTTCATGGTCATCCAACCCTTACGACTCGACTTGGACTTCCTCCTGATTGATTATTATGTTATCCACAATCTTAATATTTAACTAAATCAAAATTTAAATTTTATAAGAAAAAGTCCAATCTAATCAACTCAGATTAAGTCAAAACTCATCGGATAGGGATTTCTTTTTCAAATTTTGATTGTATAAGGAGAACAATACTCTTTTTTATCATTGAAGTCGCTTAATAAATTTGATTTGAACTAAATTAAAATTCAAAATTTATAAGAAAATATCCAATCTAATCAACTAAGATTGAGTCAAAATTCATTTTCCATCCCTACATGGGACTTATATAGCCGGGGAAGTGGTCCTTGTCGTATGTTTTAATAAACGATACTACCACTTATCCTTTGAAAACCAATTCGCTAATGGTTAGGGCATTGCTTGGTCCACGTGCATTTGTTACTATAGTGTCCTAAGTAACCTACTATGGCACGTACCACAAACTCGTGTTTGGTTGTTGAGAAACATGCTACACTCGTACTTTCTGGCAAATTATATGTTCATGTTCACTCTATTATTGAGTCTCTTGATCTTCCTTTCAAACCCCATTTTGAACACATCTTGAAGATGACATGTGTTAATCTCAGTAAACTTTTCCCACCGTTCTGAGTTTTCTCCATTTCCTTTTTCTTTCTCTTCTTTTGGTAATGAAGTAATTGAAAGAATGGCAATGAAGTCAACTATGGTGTCCCACAAATTAATGCTGCATTTTGGCCTCTGAGATTCCTTATGAGACCCTTCTTGTCTGCAAACAATATTCATTATCGAACATCGTTCGTATATCGTAATATCGTAAGTGATAAGAAGTTGGATGTTCAGACGAAACGAAAACAACCCTACAAGAATATTGGCTTTGGCAATCCGTCAAAGCATCAGCTGCCTGTCTCGGTGTTCAAAGGGTCCATATTCAATGTGATAGCCATGGGGACCTGTCCAACAAAACATAAGCATTGATGTGATAGTCGGTTTAATGCAATGCAAAGGAAAATCTAAGTATTTTTTTTCAAACAACTTTAATTTTTCAAATTGAAAACCCCAAAGCCAATAATTACAATTTTAAAAGAAAAATTAGCTTAGAACATGAAGCCATTAACAAAGGCTTGATTATTTTTCAACCTAGTAGTTTCATACACTGGTAGTTCCTCTCTATACCTTCCGATCCCGATCAGATGATCCAACTCGAAAAGATCCGAACTCGAACAGCTCAACGCATCATCTTCATCATCATTGTCATAATCTTCAATAAACCCTCTCAAATCCAGTTTCCCAATACCCTTTCTTTGATAACTCCTTAGACAACCACTTGCTTTACTGCCAACTGCAGATTCTTTCTTCTTCGGCTCCTCGTTTCTTGAAGAAAATTTAAGGTTCTTTTGAGCAGTTGAAGTGAGCATTAATCTGGGATCTTCTTCATAGATGCGTTTATGGCCACAAGGTCTGCAATCTTTATCAACAATGACACTAACTGGACAAAAGTTAACTGACCTTTTATTGCCATTACTGTACTTATTATTACCTCTTGAAGAAGGTGTTTTGCTCAAACAAGACCTGGAAAATGAAGTGGGTGACGAAGCTGTCTATTTCGATTTTCGATGAAAATTCACATCGCCGGAGACCCCATCAGAGCACATCTTCACTTTCTTGGTATTGGCATTGAAAATGGAGTTTAAGAAGCAAGTGATTCGACCACCGCGGGGGAAATCGGTTGCTTCACTTTCTTCAATTCACCATAGATTTTCAATGCTTGGAGTTTGGTCTTTGAGAACCCGCCACCACTTTCTTGCCTGGCCTTTTCTTGCTTGTTCTTGTCGTCCATGCGCGTAGCCGGCTTCAATGACGAGAAGATCCCGCCGTTGCTGGAATCGGATGAGCTCGAAGCCGAGTTGAAATGAACATCTGAGCCATAATTGCTCTTCTTTTCAATCCATTTTTCAATCATGATAGCCCGTTTTAGACTTGAAGCCTTCTCCATGGAACCTGTCGTAACCGGTTTTCGTCCGGGCACGAAATATTAAATTTGGCGGGGAAAGTGATGTGAATAAATAGTTTTGAAAATAATTTGGGAGTCGCCATCGGCCTTTTGGGTCAGGTAGGTCGAATACCTAAAAAATATCTTTTAAAAGAGTTTTTAAGAAAACATCAATTTTAAAAGATAAACTGATCTGCGTTTTATAACCAAAAATTCGTTCTTTTTAATAAAAAAAAGGGATTCATAGTCGGTTACGTTTAGGGAAGGATTAGCACCCCTATAACGCCCAAAATTGGTACTTTTTAATTATAAATTGTCTCTATTATTAAAATTTTTAAAAATTCAAAAATATATTTAATTTATAATTCTATATTATAAAAATATTTATTTATTTAAAAATATCCGAAAAGAACTTCTAGGTGCCTTAAGACAGCTCTTTTCTTTGATATTGATAAATATTAATTTAAATTATATTGTTTACTTTTTAATTTTAAAATATCAGAATAGGACATCCAGTTGTATTAAAACTGTCATTTTCTTCGATATTAAAAATAAATATTTAAAAATTACTATTTATTATATATTTATGGATATAAAAATATTTAACAATATAATAAAATACAAATACAAATACTACTAAAATAATATATTTAAAAACAATAAATGAAAACATATAAAATAATTGACTAAATTATAATAAAAATAAAATTAAAAATCTAATTACTAATTAATTGAAATTATAGGGATTAAATATTTTATTTTCTAATTTAATAATTTAGTGACCAAAATGAATTTATCTAAAATTCAAATTTTATAATAAAATTAATTAAAAATATGAACTAGGGATAAAAAATTTATTTATTAAAATTAAGGGATTAAATCTGTCATTTATCCTAAATATTATTTTAAAAAAGGACTAAAATGAATAAAATTAAAAATTCAAAGACTGAATTAAAATTATTATAAATTCAGTTTAGTGACCAAAATGTAAAATTTATGAATACGAGGGACTGCGGACGGGGTTTAACTATTTCATAATTACGCGCATAGTCCTTCCCGAAACGACGTCGTTCGGAAGGACTATAAGAGTCCAAACGGCTGGCCCTTCGGGCCAACCATTTCATTCTTCTTTTTTTTCTTTTTCTTAAGCAGAGAGAGAGAGAGAGAGCCAGAATTCTCTGGCCTCTCTCTAGATTCCTCACGGAGGGAATCCGGCAGCCGTTGCCGCCGCGAGTTCTGCCGCCGACCACCGCCGCCGGCCACCGTCTTCGGTGGCCGGAAAAAAATATTTTTTATCCTAAATGTAGATCGGACCGTCCTAATGACGGTTCGATGTTTTTTCCGTTAAACGGCTCCCAATCGGAGCAAATCTACAATAATACCTTCGGCTTTTCGAAGTTTTGGTGAGATCCGGTGACGGTTGGGGCTCTCCGATGACAGGGTAAGCTTTTGCCTCTCTTCTCTCTTCTCTGTGTTTTTTTTTTCCTTTCTCTGTGTTTTTTTCTTCTCCGTTTTCTGTTTCTGTCTTGGTTTCTGTCTCCTTTTTTTTTAGGTTGGGGTGGTGGCTTTTATAGCCACCACCGGTGTTCGTCTCAGACCGGTCCGAAGAGGGGGCCTCGGTGAGTCACCGGACTACCAGTGGTGACTCACCCGTAGCCTTGCATGGACGGCTGACGTTGATCTTCTGGAGTCTTCATTCGGGACGTGGCAGCGGCGGAGGCGGCGAGAAAACTGTCGGCAGCCGCGTGGAAGCTGGGGCGGCGCCGCGTGGCCCTAGGGTATCAAACCCTAGGGTTTCTCTCTGGAACCATCTGGACCGTTGGATCTTGCCAGATCCAACGGCTGTGAGCTGAGGCGGCTGGTTAAATTAGGGTTAGGAAACCCTAACTGGAAACCCAAATATTTAGGGTTTCTGGTTGGATCTGGACCGGTTTGGTTGGTTTGTAACTGGGCCGGTCCAATTGTAATTGGTCTGTAATTATATTATGTATTTAATATATTTAATATAAATTTAATAATAATAATAATGATAATAATAATAATAATAATAATAATAATGGATAAAAAATTAATATCTTCAGAACCAATGCCCTGTTTCTTAACAGGGTTTGCACTTGTTTGCTCCATGTAATGGCACAATGTCGGCTCGTTTCGGTTTCCCTAATCGTCGTTGGAACCATAAATAGCATCGAGAAGGGTTGAAGAGAAAGAAGGGGTCCTTATTCTATGAGGAACCGTAGTGTCTATCATGGAACTCTCTTCTATGCATATTGTTCTCTTCTTTTGCATACACAACACACAGGCGCAAAACGAAAACAGGGGAAACAGAGATTTATACAGGGAAAAAACAGGGGAATCTTGAGATTAAAGAAGGGAAACAAAAGAAAAGGGACAGTGAAAGGTTAATTTACAGCTTTAATGTCTACTTAGAGAATGTCAAAAGCTGCAAAGACACAGATTAAGTATAAATATGCAAGTAGATCATGTGAAACAAGGACCAAAGAAGGAGAGAGAGAACAACACAAAGTAAAAGAATTCTTCAATATGAACTGGACTGTTTAGTTTGGAACCTGTATTTAGTATTCCCTTTGATAATAGTATCCGCTCTAATGTGTAATTAATACGGATCGAGCTTTATAAAGATTCATTTACTATTAATCCTTAATTGAATTGGTTGTTCGATTTACACTACTGATGAACGAAGAGTTTGGATTTTATTATGAGAAATAGTTAAGGGAATAAACTATAATTTAGCTCATAGTTTAGGGATGATGTTGCAATTAATCCTGATAAAAAGCAAAGCAAAGAAAATGGGAGAACTGTGTACTTTGTTGTTGATGTAAAGCTGAGAGTGCCGCGCGTGCGGGTGGGGGTGCCAGGCCAGGCTGTTTGCAGGTGTAATTGTTGGGTAAAGTTTATTTATTGTTTTTATTTTAGTTTTTACTTAGTTTGATGATGTTTTCGAACTTGTAAGGACTAAAGGTGACTTCTTTTCTTTGTTGGGGCTAAATTGTCAGAGAACAGCCAATCAGATATCAATGGAGTGCGTAATGTCTGGTCATTTTCTCCTTTCACTCTTCTTCCCGCCATTGTAATGCTTATCACCCAGTTTTCACCTCCTGAATCAGAGAAGAAAAAATGAAAGCAATACCTCATTCAGCCTTGTGCTTCTTTGATGAAGATCATACTCCAGAGATTTGTCTCATATTTGTTGGCCTAATTATGGTTTTAGCCCCTCTCGTATTTCAAGTTTTGGATCTAAACCCTTCATTTTTTTTAAGATATACAAATACATATGTTGATGTATAACTTGATAGAGTGGTGATTAAAGGTAAATCGAGAGATTGTAGGTGAAGGCTGGATGTCAGTTTATGGTATATCCCTTGTAAATTAAGCAGATGATTATTGAAAGTCAATCTTAGATCCATAACTTACATCTTTCGAGATGTTGCATGGGATAAGATTTATTCCCTTGTAAATCGAGAGATTGTAGGTGAAGGCTGTAGTCGTGATTTCCATGTTGCCGTGACTATGTGACCAAATAGCAATAAAAAAAATCATTGGGGTCTCAAAAGAACCTAGATATAATCTGCAAAATTTTGGGGTAAAGGAATCAGGCCGGGATCAGTGAACATGGTCGAGTCCATCTCGATAGGTCTTCTCAGTTTATTAGTCCAGAAAGTGTTAAACGTGGGCTGAGTTTGGATCATGAACTCATCATATATTGTGCCAATTGTTTCGAAGTAATGATTGTTGGAAGAACTTTATTTAAATATCAATTTGGTCTGAAATTTAGGGGTGTTTATCGAGCCAATCACGAGCTGCTCAACTCATTCAACAACCCTAGTCCGAATAAGATTACTCTTAAATCATAAAACGGATGAAAACAGCAGCAACAACAGCAGGAGTACCAAAGAAGGATGAAAAACATTCTTTCATTGATACTGGATTGTCATTTTTACCATCCCCCAGATACACATTTGATGCTGTTTACCCACCAACTTTAGATTTTAAAGAAACTAGTAAAATATAAAATCCCACCATCATATTTCTAATAGCTACTATGAAGCTGGAAAAACAAAAACCTTAGCAACAGGTGGCAGAAACACCTGCTTTACAACTTTGCAGAAGAGATTCCACGAGTATGGCACAAGAGAATGCCAGCAAGCCGTTAGTCTCCTTCGTTTTGCTCGGTTACAAGTATTGTTTGTGTATCCTGGCTCGGTTCTCTTCCCACCACAGTCTGGCATGCATCTCTCCAAACCTTTCCCGGCTGCACGATATAGAGTGATGTAAAAGGTTAAGACAATCACATTTCATCAGTGAATAGTTCATGCTGGATTTGTCTAAGCATGGGAGTAAAATTAGCTTGTAAAAGCAGAATAAGTGACTCGGTACTTATGCTGTTAAAAAAAGGATTTACAGCCTAATAAAGTCATACGACCACATTTCTTTATCGGTTATGATGGTCCTGGTCAATATCGGTTGTTTATAAGCAAACCGACTATTGCTTATATTGAAGAATGTCCTAGAACCATACCTGAATCTAACTCGCCTAAGCTCTCTTTTGCCCCCTGGCAAGGCTCTGATAGTAATGTAAACCCCTGGTTCATCCATTTCAACCCACTCAGTTTCAAGATCACTGGCATTGCTAATGGATAGCTCTCTAGAGCGATCGGCCTCTCTTGATGAACTACTCCTCATAGAGGCATCCATGGATGATATCTCTGTCTTGGCACCACTAATACTGGAAAGTTTTGGGGTCGAGGTAAGACCAGAGTCGCAATAATGCCGAGACTGCATTGGGTGCTGATCAAGTGAATCTGATGATGAATAAGCCATTCCCATCCCAGTCGGGTGATGTAAATTACGAGGTAAACGTTCTTTAGTCAATGGTGGTGTTACAGGACTTTCTTCTGCTGATTCCATTTTTGAACTCTATAAGAAACCAAAAGAATGATGTTATTAACATTCAAAGTTCAGTTTTTCACAGCAATAGTGCAGGGCATTAGATAGGTGCAGTTCGTTCCCATGTTGCTTGGACTCTAATGTTCTTGAAGCACTCATGTTCGACATTTACGTTCAATACATGGACATGGGGATAACTTCAAAAAGAAAATCTAACCATATCCAACACTCACACCAGAGTCCGAGTAACATAGGTTCATGCACACTGTGTTAAGCAGGCAACAGCCTAAGAACTTGCCTCATCTTCTGATCTAGGGGGTGTTGGTAGTGGGAATGCCTGGCGGTTAAACCTCTGAACATTGTAAAGTTCCATGACCCTATCATAATTCTCTGCCCACCATCTTTGCGCTTGCCATTTGTTAAACATTTCCCGACTAGTCAAACAAAATAAACTATGTTTCAGCACTCCTGATGCTCATGAGATTAGCATTACCAGAAATCAGAAACTGGAGGTTCAAGATATACATGTGCTAAAATGTAGCAATACAATAACATGCATTAGGGAAGCCAAGAACAAAGTTAAAATCATAAAAAACAAAGGATTAAACATAAAGTTAACAACTATACCATGCTATCATCCTCAGGGATGGACCGAGAGGCGGCTGGGGCTAGTTGCCCCTGAAAATTTTAAATTCTCATATAATTTAGGTATTTCTTTTGTATTTGCTATTGATAATCTGTTTTCACCCCTACAATTTTATAAGTTCATTCCCTAACATAAAATCTGATTATCCTTATTCACAAGTCACTAACTAAAACCAATCACGGACAGTATAAATGCACCTATACCATTTAATGTGAATGGAAAAATTTAATAATATTGAGGCCACTAGGTTGGCTTATATACATCTTGTGACTAAGAATTTCTCCATTATTAGTTGGGATAATAAATAAGCTACCAACCAGCCTAAGATAAGGAGAAATATTAAAAATTTCAAAGTGGCATCCATGTATTTGATGTATTGGGATGTGTCTTGTCTTTGGAGCTTTATCAAAGCATTAAATCAGATACCATCAGTCCATCGTCATGAATATGAAAGTGGTGATGGAAAATAAAATCAATTAAGAGACCAATTAGAATCAATTTTTCTAGAAAGGGAAAAAATAAAAGTCAAATGAGGCCAAGGGTCATAAGTGAGAGGCAACAGCAATGTTCCCTTGATAAAATGACCGATCCCTCCTGTCACTATCCATTGAAGACATGGTCTTTTGTGTGTTGGCAAATATTAAGCTTAAAAAAGGGTAAAAGCCTTTGTCTTGCTTGTAGTTTTTGTTTAGTGACAAAATGACAAGAAATGGGGCATTAGAAGAACAAGGGAAGAAGACAATGGCACGGAGAATCAGGCGTGAAGGGGAATTTTTTTTTGTTGGCTTGAATGAAAAGAGAGGCTTGGTCGACAAGATGCAGAGGGTGAGTGGAAAAAAAAGCTTTTTTGCCAACACAATCAATGGTGGGTGGAGGCACAATGAGTTCTGCTTTTGGATTTTTATGGGATTGCTTTTCATTAGGCGTGAAGCCTACTGTGACACCCCTTGGGCCCTCACCTACAGAAACTCTGGCTTTTCCTGCCGAGGTTGCTACGGCAGTGTTTGGTTGCAGCGTTTAAAAAAACACAAACAGCAAAATCCATCAGTATATAAGTATTCATTTTTAGTACTGCATGTAATTTTGATGCATTTGCAACCATATTTGAGAGTTTACATATGCAATGCACAACATAAATTATATTTTCTCATAATTTATACACATCAAATTCTTTTAATTATATTTAATGTATTGATAATATGTATCAATAATGCTAGTCAAAGCTCGTTAGATGTTATTCAAAACACGAATTCTAGGATAAAATATACTAGAGGTCATTGAACTACGTAAAACTTTTTTTTTTTGTTAAACGGCCTTTTGAATATTCCAAAATGGTTTAGATTTTCTAATCCGTTACAATTTGCAAGGATAAAATAGTAATACATTTTGATAAGTTTACGGATTATTTTCATAATAATTTGATAAATTTAAGGACTAATTTATAATATTTAAAAGATTAACTACTAAAATGATCATTCTTATATAGTTCAACGACTTCATGCTTACGTAACCCAAAATTTTATGGAAAAAAAATCAAGAATATTGATTAACATTTTGAAAATAACTGCAACCGCAAGATAAAAAATCTAACGCAAGGAAAACAAATCAGAACCATCGAAATAGAAAACCGGGAGAATAAGGGCGCGGCGCACCTGAACCGTATCCTCTTGAGATCGTTACCGCCGCGAGGAAGTGAAACAAAGGTGATAAGTACGCCGGGCTCCACATGAGCCACCCACTCTTTAGGCTCATTTTCTTCGGCGAATACGACCGTGTCGACTCGGCGCCCACTCAACGATTTCGGAGTCGCTTCTCCGCTCGAACTCGATATCCCTTTCAACCTCGCTTCCATTTCCTTCCCCCACGTCCTCGGTGTCGCCGAGCTCGAACTCCCCGTCCTACGATACGACCATCTGATCCTGTCTGAGTCCGCGTCGAACTCGCCCGAGTTCCTCAACCGACTCTGCGCTGTGCAGGGGTTACAGTGCTTGTACGCACCCGACGCCTTCAGCGCCATGTCCTTCAACTAAAACAAACACCCAAAATGAAAATCATTAGAGCCAAACAAAGACCAAAGAGCTCGAAAAATCTCAACGTTGTAAAATCGAGAGTTAAAATTACCTGAGAAGTGAGGGATTTAATGGCTTGGTTGTGCTTAACGCTGGGAGTGGTAGAAGAGTCCATTTCTTCTGGTTGACTCACTGAATCATCACCGGGTTGCTTCGAACGAGCTATGCACGTCAGCATTGTTTTTTTTTCTCGAAATTCTTAGAAAACCAAGAAGTCTTCTGTTAAAAAACAAAACAAAAACAGAATACATTCAAAACTACATTTTACGATTTGTCAGATTTGAAGAACTAAACAATGAAATACTAATAAATTCATCAGCAGCTTTTCTCTAAAAAAACAGAGTAAAACTAGTGAGTCGGAGAGATTAATGATCAACAACAACAGACGAGTTTTCGAGATTACCGTACAGAGAAACAAAAATTTAATGCACCCGGAAATCAGAATATCATTGGTGGTTAAGGGAGAGAACTAACAACTAAAGGGTTATATTTCTTAGTATTTCTTTCTATATTCCGCCTCTGCAGTTTCAGGGAGCTCGATATTCGAGACTCAGTAATGACTCAGGGAGCTCTTTAATGCCACGTTTTAAGATGAAACGACCAGAGATTCTCTGCACTAACCCAAAATTAATAACAAATTAAAACAACAAAAAGGGTTTTAATAGAAAAGATTTAAGAGAGAAGAAAAATAATTAGCTCCTGAAATCCCATCGAAGGAGATAGAAGAAGTGTTAAGCAGAGAATGGCTATAAATAATGGGACAGTGTTTTATTGCAGTTTCTTGCTGTATATTGTATTAATGGAAGAAGTGGAGTTGGCAGTGGGGACTTGGAGAGAGAGAGAGAGAGAGAGTCTGCGATTGGCGCAGGCCGTTACTGAGCTCAGCTAATGTTTTCATTAATAGTATCGAAAGGCCCACCGGAGAAATTTGATGGGCTAATTTGCATCATTGGAAGGCCGATAAACTGGTTTAACTCGGGCTATTATTAACTCGTCAGAGGCGGGTTAAGATAATGACTGCAGTTAATGATAGCGAGAGAGTTTGCCTGAATAGAGTAATCCATTGATTATAATCTCGTACAAGTAGATAATAAAGGCCGAAGGGGAAAACGACAGCCCAACCTCCATAAAATGTTAGACTACAGCATTATCACTAAATTGATCTTTTTTAAATGTCGTCTTCGTCTACTATTATAATGTGTCACAGTCCAACATCTTCCCCCAACTGCAGCTTGGAGAGGTTGACATTTGCATCAAAGATTTGGCTTTAATCAAAGTAACTCATAGCCAACATAATTATTCTATTTAATTTAGTATGGGAAAAACCTTGGCCGCTCTTTCTTTTCTTATTCTCTAAATCACTTCTTGTTGCTTTCTGTTTCATGTTTGGTTGATAAACGATGATATCAGTTTTAGGGTTGATTGTTATAGTCGTTTTTAAATAACTCAAAAAGGGTGGAGTATGGTCCCCGAAAGACAAAATAGATTAAGGTATAATTGTACGTTTCATCCTTCTAGTTTATAAAAATTCAAAACATAATATTTATGCTTTATTTTTATAATTTTATCCTTGTACTTTATAAAATTGAAAAATTAATCCTATTATTGGTGAATATGTGAATTTAAACTACTGAGTTTGTTAATTTACTTGATGTTTGCTATTTTTCTATGTATACATTGATGAACTATTAATTTTAAGATTAATAATTCAATGATAAATTTCAATAATATTACCCAATTGTACTAATTTCTTAGTTTTAATAAAGTATGAGATAAAATTTTGATTAAAGGGTTAAATTTTTAATGTTCATGAAGTATAAGTATGAAATTCACCATTATACAGAAAAGATTAAATATTGAAAGAAACGCATATATATATAACCGAAGGTCGAGAAACAAAGGCGATGGTCAAAGCTGGATTTTAATGGCGGTAGTGGATGAAATAACGGTGATGATAGTATATTATTATTATTTTCACGCTTTTATTTTTCTTTTCAATTTTCATTTACTTCTTTTGGCGTTACTAGAAAATCTAAGAAGAAAATGAGGGTGCCAATAGCATCCATTTGAAGAGGGAGAAAGAGGAGTAGTTGGAGAGTTTCAAGGGAGGGGACATGCCCAAGTTTCTCCCAACAACTCAAACATTACTTTGCTTTTGCTTCATCTTCTTCTTCAAGCCTCATCAGATCCTATAGGTTTTTCTTTCTGTTATTATTTTAAACCTACCACTGCTGTTTCTTTTCTCCCTTTTCCCACTTTAAATGAATGTTTGATCATGATGATGAAGCTGTTTTTGTTCTTGTAGAAGTTGGTAAAGTTGATGTTTTTCTTTCTCGGTATTGTAGTTTGCTACTGTTGTTTCTGGTTTTGGCTGCATTAGTATTCTTGCTTTATGCACACGTGTTTCTTTAGTTGTTGTAGGAATTGATCATATTCATAAGCATGAACCTTTAAGCATTATCTTGTCCGTATAGATTAGGGTTCTGGACATGAACTTGGATCTTCTTCAGCTAAAATTTCCCGATTCTTAAATTCTGGGATTTCCCCCCTGATATATAGGTTTACTCTTTTTATTGTTGATTGTTATTTTCCCCTCCCATGTTCTTGAATCTGTTACCTTTCTTGTATTAATCTCTGTTGCATGTCACTAGGAAGCTTTACTATATTTCAAGTTTCAAAGTTCAAATCTCACATGTTTTTCAGCTAGGGTTTTCTTTTAATTCATTGGAATTTGTAATAACTTGCTATTTTATTCATGGAAAACCCATCATATATAACCTTGTCTGGTTCCTTGCTGAATTTGTAGGCTAGGCTTTAGTTGTGAACTGTCTCGATTTCAAGGCTTAGTGGCCGAACTGTTTGCATATTATCTGGGATTTTTTTCAGATCTTTCTTGTTGCATGCAGGGCAAAAATGTTTCCTTTTACAGTGTTGACTTTCTGAGCATGCCTTAACTGGAAAAACTGGTTCGTTTGCTCGTCTAAAGTTGACTTGTAATGACAATGATGATGGTGTCTTCTATGTATTTCGATTGCGTAGTAGCTCTAGCACATGGTTTTGAATCTGGGTTTTGACTATCATTCTTCATGGAATTTGTATAAGGTGTTATTGCAAATACATGCTTTTCTTTTCACTGCTACTTTTGGTCACATTCATTAATGTTTTTCGTTTGACCCCCTTGTGAATTTTATGTGTCCGATATTAATGCCGAGCGAGTTCTTGATGATCGAAATGAGGGTCTAAACTATTACATGCCAATTACTAATTGTAGCAGTTCATGATTTCAAAGTGGATTTTTTGTTCAATTTAACCTCCGAAGGGTGAAGATGGCCTGGTGCATTTGGTTGCGGTTCGGGTCTGAGTTTTCATCTAGTGTTAATAAATTGACAAATATTACCTTCTGAATCTAACTTGTGATTTCGGTTCATGTGCTAAGCTTGTGTTTTTAGTGTTCCATCAACTTATTTTCTTCAGCAATTGCTTGTTTGGTTCTGCCTATGACAAACATTACATCCACTGCTCGTTATATATATTTTTAACTCTTTTAGTAGTTGATACCGGAGTGCGACAAAGAGGGTCTGTTTGTTAATAAGGATCGTCTCGGTTAGATATATGGCTCTTCGGGTTCAAAACTTGTCAAAGAAAAACTTCGATTAACAATCTGTTCATTTGGGATCCCGTGTATCTGTTGGTTTCCAACCATGGTGGAACTCAAATGAAAGAGAAATTGCACTGTTTTTACCCCAAAGCACGGGTCTGGAAGAGGAAACTCCCTCCAAACTTTATAAACCAAAGAGTCGAGATCCTCAAATACCGGACCAGGAATCGACCTCATCTGAAGCGATTGCTCAATCTCATCCTGAAATGAGTATCAAAGGAGGTACTGGTTCTCCATTCTGTTCATCTGAATCTGGTATTGATGCTTCTGGAAGTGTTATTCATTGACTTGAACTGTCAGTGAGTAGCCTGAGAAGATGCAAACTTTTGGTAGAATTTGTTTATCTATTAGCAATGTCCTAGTTCTTATAGTTGGTTCGTGCAAGTTTTGCGAATATTAGTCTTGTTGTTGGTGTTTAGCGTTCTTTGTTTCATGCTGTCGATGCACTAATGTGATTTGCCTTGGTTTCTGAATGTGCTGAAAAGGATCCACCAGATGGTTTATTGAAGAGGGAAGCTTGTTGTCTAGTTTATCAGGTTCAACAATGCTTGCCTGATTTCATAATTGTTTCCCCATTCATCAGGCCAGGCTCAAAGTTGTGGGAAGGACTTCGAGGGTCAATCGAAGCCCATATTCTTGATTAACAATCAAAACACCATGTTCAGCCCTTCCAATCCAAACTATAACCATTCAATGGTATTGTTAGCATGTTTAGCAGTCATTAACTCATTACTAAGTTCATTTTGTTGGCTCTGCTTCAAATTAATAATCCTCATCATATTTCAGGCTCCTGCTCAATATCCTTATGCGGACATGTACTTTGGTGGCCTATTTACTCCATATGGGCAACCGGCTATTGTAAGATCTCCCAAGCTACTGTGCCTTGCTGCATTAGTTGCTAGTGTGTTTATTTTCATTTCTACGAATCATTGACATCTTAATTGCTTTATAGGATGTTATTGCGGTATGCTGTTTATCGACAAAATGTTTCTTAGCTGTGGGTCAGTTAGCTTAGAAAATCTCAAATTCTTTTCTTCAACCACCTTCCCTGCTCCTCTAGTACTGGTCTAAGTTTTCACCTTGTTTAGCGTAGGATCCCTCGAGTTACCATTTTTACTTCTTATAATGCAATTTGTTTTGAACTTGATCAGATTCAGGCGCAGATGGGAGGAGGGAGTGCACTGGCACAAATTCCGCTACCACTTGATCTTGCTGAAGATGACCCCGTTTATGTCAATGCAAAACAATATAATGGGATTCTTAGAAGGAGGCGACATCGTTCAAAGCTTGAAGCACAAAACAAACTTGTCAAATCTCGAAAGGTATATTACACACAATTCATTTCGGAATTCGTATGTACACAAACGATTAGTGCATGGGGTATATAGTTTGGAAACTAATGACCAAAGGATATAAATGCAGCTTTAGCAATTGTATTATACATGAACTTGTACTAGTAATGGCAACATTTTTCAAGGCCATTAATTGCTTTGGTTTGAATTAAATGCAGTCATATCTTCATGAATCTCGACATCGTCATGCACTGAATAGGGTTAGGGGATCCAGTGGACGCTTTCTTAGCAAAAAGAAGCTCATACAACCTCCAGATCCAACTTTCAACCTGAGTTCCCATTCCATTTCCGATGCCAGCTGCTTAGACCGAATTAACAGTGGATCAGAACTCGAGAGCTATTCAAGTGTAGCAGACTGCAGCGGTTCAAGTACAAGCTGCTCAGACATCTCGAGCATCTCCAACAATAATAGCAGCTTCCAGCTGCCGAAACACGGGTTCACAGACATCTCTCCTGGTGCGAGCAGTGTGTGCAATGGAATCCGACAATATTCTTCAGTTGTCCTGTGAGAACCCGGGGCAACGAAGTTGGCAACTCATCCTTGGCTTTTATATTATCTACTATTATCAACGTTTCAACCATCTTTCATGTTTGTTGTGAGCTGTAAAGTGTCTTAAAAACATCTGTTCTAAGATTCTGTCTACTTTTGGAATAGATT